ATGGGCTCAAGTATAGCAGGGATTGTGGGGCTGGTGCGGGATCGGGCAGTGTTTCGTTCTGCTGTGCATGGGGTCGCTATGAGTCGGAAACGACTCGATGGCACTTAACAACAACAACAAAGCACACAGCTTGGCTCACAGAAGTTCTCAAAAGGTGCTTGTTCAATGACTAAATGACCAAATGGCTAATCAAGTAACATGTCATTTGTTTTGAATATATGTTGAAACAAAAATACAATCTGAACTAGTGTAATTAAGAGGAGCTCTGGTTGTATAGTAGTTAAGCCATTTGGGTGCTAACCAAAAGGGCAGTGGTTCGAACTCATTAGCTGCTCCAGGGAAGAAAGATGAGGCAGTCTGCTTCTGTAAAGATTTACTCCCTTGGAAACACAATGGGGTGGATTTTGGTTTGTTTTTTGAGTGTTACTAAGAGGTAACTGGGAGCTCTGGTAAAGTAGTGTCCATGGCACTTGACTGCTAACTAGAAGACTGCCAGTTCAAACCCACCAGCCACTCCTTGGAAGGAAGGCTGGGCAATCTACTTTCGTAGTAATACCACCTCGGAAACCCAAGGAGGGGTCGCTATGAGTCAGGTCTGACTTGATGGCACATAACAACAACAACAAGAGGTAATTATGTCATGATTCTCCTTTGATGCTGTTGCTGAAGACCTTGCTGTATCTCTGTGCAGCTGGAAATACATTCTCACCCACATGGACAAAACTACCATCCTTCAGTTTGCAGCCAGGGCTGCTACTTACATAAAACTATGCCCTCACTATTCACCATTCACCATTCAGGCTATCTGAAGTTTTTGTCCCTGGGTGATACAAATATTTAACCTCTTGTCCACTAGCCCAAAGGTTGGTGGTTTGAACCCATGGTGATATACTTCTGAAAGGGTCACAGGCTTAAAAACCTAATGGAGCAGGTCAACTCTGCACACAGGGGGTCACTGTGAGTCAGAACTGACTCGACAGCAACTAACAACAACAGCAGCATTTTTTAATAAAATAAAATGTCCATAAGAAATTGAAATAAAATAACAGACTAATATAACTTTCACTCTAAATCATCAACATTTGTTATCCTGCTTTATACTAGAAACCACAAATGTTTTTACATTTTAAAACCCTCATTACTTTATTTCCATGGGACAACGTCTGCTAAAATTTTCTATAAAAACCCTAACTTGCTGGGAAAAAAAAGTGTGTTATGATATTTGCTCTCAAGAAGTAAGTGTTCAAAGTAAAGAAACTCCTCCTTCATCCTCACAAAACATTTTGTAATATTTTGACTAAATATAAAACAAACAAAAAAACAGACAAGAAGAAAACATCTCACCGATGGGCCTTCTCCAATGTGAGTGTGTGCCTTCTGCTTGGTTTCACACAACTGCCTCAAATGTAAAATCACAAGTTCATTTTCTTCCTGGTCACTGACTGGCTTCATTTTCTGTTGAACAGACAAACCAAGAGCACAGATGATGGCAACACGGAGCCCCTCATTTAATTTTATTCTCACTTGCTTTGATCATTTTGGCAGACAAACAAACATACATAAAGCTAAGATTTCAACTACTCTTAAAAGCAAAACCACCAATAGTATTCTAGTTACTATTAAATATAACTGCATACTATGTATCTTTGACTTCAGACAGAGGAGTGAAAAGGGAGTCATAAAAACAGGATTTGACTCTCATTGCTTAATTTTAGACATAAGCATAAATGATGTTACCTGAACACGTTCAAAGATGTCAGCTTGTTCATTATCTGTCAAAGATGAGAGATGCCTCTGTATTACCAGCTTAGCTCTTGGGGGATAGAGACCTAAGAAAAATGATTGGGAAGAATATTAAACAGAATTGAACAGCAGAGATCTAAATAATATATAATATAAAAACCATTGCAGCTCACCACTTAGGCAGCAGGCACTATTAACTCTTCTCAAAGAGACATGTTACTGCCTATGACAAATCTTGGGACACTACACTAAAATGACTAAAACGAGACAGAAAATCTCCTTACCAAAACGGACAGCTTCTGACAGTGACCCTGCAGTCAATTATAACCAAGAATTTTTAAATGATACCAAGTTGATAGTACAAGTGGATATCATTTAACTTTCTAACAAACTTAATGATAGAAATGCATAGCTGAATTCAGATTATCTTAGTTGATGGCATGAAAATATAAGCTAAACTTTAGCCATGGCCAATATCTCTAATCAAAAAACATGACATCCAAAGAAGAAAGACTAACTTATTATAAGGCAGAGTGATAGCTCAGACTAGAATCTCTTTCCCTCATGCAGCTCTTGTTCTGGTGGGACTAAAACTTCAAGGGGAGCAATCATATTTAGTGACATTTTTATGGTTATCATTTTACCTAGAATATTTTTTTACTTTTAAACCACAGTATTTGTAAATCTACTGCATTTTTAAACATACTTTATATTAAGTCCTTGGGCAAGACCTTTTTCCACAAAAAACATTTCTGTTTTTATAATTTTGAAAAAGGAAACATTTAATTCATATTCACAATGGTTCAACTGACCATTTGTTTTTAAGGAACAGAACCTGCTTTACATAGCTAACTGAACCAAACCCACTGCCATCGAGTCAATTCCAACTCATAGTGACCCTACAGGTCACAGTAGAACTGTCCCCTAGAGTTTCTAAGGCTATAATCTTTATGGAAGTAGACTGCTTCATCATTCTGTTGCATAGCGGCTGTTGGGTTCAAACCATTGACCTTTTGGTTAGCAGTCAAATGCTTTAACCAATGCACCACCAGAGCTCCCTTTACATTTACCATTAAGTGGTAATAATACTATACTTTGATTAAATAGAGGATATCTAACTATATGTCATATTTAATAAACCTTATAGGTAGGCTGCCATTTGAAACCCTTTCTCGGCTTATAGTTAAAGAACTACATGATATTAAACCATACTTTGAATATTTTCTATGTATTCATATTTCATTTACATAAAGTCAGACAGAAAATTCATTAAAAATCATTTTTCACAGGAAAACAACAAATGCTGGTAAAGATGTAGAGAAACTGGAACACTTATTTATTGCTGATGAGAATGCAAAATGGTATAGCCACTAGAGAAAACAGTTTGGTGGTTCCTCAAAAAGTTAAAGAAAGAACTACCATATGACCCCCAGATTCCACCCTTAGTATGCTCAAGAGACTTGAAAGCAGCGACACAGATACATGGACACCAATGTTCACAGCAGCACTATTTATAATTTCTAAAAGGTAGAAACAACTTAAATGGCCACCAACAGACAAAGGGATAAATAAAATATGGGATATACATACAATGGACTACTACTCAGCTACAAAGAGAAAGGAAGTCCTAATACATGACACAACATGGATGAACTTTGAAAACATTACGCTGAGTAAAGTCAATCACAAAAGGACAAGTATTATATGATCTCACTTATATGAAATATCTACAATAGGTAAATGTATAGAGACCCAATTGATTGGTGGTTACCAGGGGCAGAAGGAAAGGTAAAAAGGGGAGTTGTTGCTTGGGAAGCACTGATTTTCTGTTTATGCTGATAGAAAACTTGGCAACTGATACTGGTGATGGTTATACAGCAAGTTAAATGTAACAGATGTCACTAATCTGTACAGATGAAAACCATTAAACTGGCAAATGCTGTTATATACTTTTATAATAAAAAAATACTTTCTTACAATTTATTGTGCTGAGTTGCATCACAGAATTCTAAAATAAACAGTATAATGGACTATATGTACCCTGTGTTGTTATTTAATTGTACATGTTTCTAAATATATATATAAATATTGAAAGCTGATTGACATAAACTGACAGGATTGTCTCAGGCACTAAAATTCATTTTTTATGGCATGATGGCACTCATTATTATGGCTTATTATCTTGCTGGAAAAGTTTCCTTAGGAAGCTTCCCAAACAATATATTAAAAATTGATCCATAATGACTGTTTTGTTTACTATTCAAATGGACTGCTCAGCATGCCTTAGAGAATAAAAGAGTTCAAAGTGGAGAAGAAAGGTAAAAAGAGTACTTATTTGAAATACATAACTAAATTCAGACAGAGGCTAGGAATTTCAGTAGAGGAATTAGACACAGCAAGAGTCTGTCTTTTCAAACTGTATACACTTCCTCCACCACAAATCTAATTGACATTCTCTTTTCCCCCAATTTAGAATCACTTACTAGTGAATTACTGATATTGGGAGTCATGTAAGGATCCATGGAGGCACAGCAGTTAAGCACTTGGCTGCTGACCAGAAGGTTCATGGTTCAAACCCACCATCAGCTCCACAGGAGAAAAGACTTGGTAATCTTCTCATGTGAAGATCACAGCCTGGGAAACCCTAAGGGGCAGTTCTACTCTGTCCTCCAGGGTCACTATGAGTCAGAATAGTCTCAATGGCACACAACAACATACATTAATGTAGGAAAAAAAGTATGTTAGCATAGGAGAAAAAAAGATTTGAGGATAACTGTTCCATCTCTATCATTCACATCACTTCCATCTCAGAGTCTAAGGTTTGGTCCTTAGGAGTTCCACTGAGACACAGTCTCATGGAGTCACTCAGCCGACAGAAATGGCTGACTTTGTTCCTTCCACTCTAAATGGTAGTTTAAATGGTGAGGGTCAACAAAGGTATTGTGATTAGGGTACCAGAACACATACCTATATATGCTTTCTTGTATTTTTTTTTCATTAAAAATAGAACTCCTTGTTAATGTAGCCAAACATATTGACAGGAATACCATAATTTTGAGTAAGTAAAATGAAATACTGACATCTATAGGGAGCTCCGGTGATGTAATGCCTACGGCATTTGCCTGCTAACCAGAAGGGTGGCAGTTCAAACCCACCAGCCACTCCTTGGAAGGAAGACTGGGCAATCTACTTCCATAGAGATACTGCCTCAGAAACCCAAGGACA